TTATGCAATAAACAACGGTAGAAAATGACATTTATGTGTGCTGGAATCTGATCTCTAAGGGAACTTTCACATGGTAACAAATAACTTTTTGAATGGTATACCCCTCCACCATCTTGATTCAATGCTGACTTAAATACTACTAGTGATATAAGGCTATTATAGGTAATTCTTTCTCCTTATGAATTTATTGGACCACACTCTTCAAAGAAGACCCCTATTTTAGAAACAATTTCATTCTTATCCTTCCTGGTATCAATTTATTAGCATATGTGAATGCATGTCCTTAAAAAAAAAAAAAAGCTTTGCCATATATTTAACAAAGTTACTCTAATTGATGGATGGGGATAGAGAAAATGAACGATGATTACCATAAAAAAGAAAAACTTTATTGCAAATCTGAATCTGATGTATCTGGGAACTATATTACCATGTAGCATTGCAAAATCCTGCAAAGCAGATATATCAGCTAATGACATTTCTAAAACTCTTCCTCATCTTCATTGCTCCCCAAGGAAGTAGTGAGGTAGAGAAAGACTCCATAATACATTTTCCCTCCTCTCACTAGCATAAAAAGTTATATCAAACCTAGTTATATAAGATTTATCATTGAAAAATTAGGGTAAATGCCAGGAAAACACACTTGTTCCTAGAATGTGAGAAATATTGTGAAACTACCAGATCATCTATTAATCCAGTCTTTTGTTTAATACATGAGGAAAATTAGGCCAGTGAAATAATTGGGTCATCTACCCAAGATCAATCTGCTAAGAAGGGGTAGAGATAACACATATTTCTTCCCTTAGTGCTCTTGCCACTATGTGGTTGTGGTAGAGCACCCAAGAATTATCACTGCGTTCTGTGGGTCATCATACCTCATTCAGTAAACATGCAAACATGCAAACCTATCATATGCTGGGCATTAGGCTAGGCATGGACAGATATTGGGGGGGGGGATTTTCTAATAAATTAATATTTAGTATTCTATGCTTATCTATAGTTATTTTTACATGCTTATTGACATTAATAAGAAAAATAGTACATGGCCATTTTAAAATGTATATGTAGTTGGAATTTGGTGTCTAGGCCTTTGTACACCTCCTTTCTATATGGAATGACTGAGCAAGGAAACTGTACAAATAAAAAGAGGTAGTATTTTGCCTGATTACTGGATTCCTGTAAACTTGGATACAATGTCACATGGCTTCTGTTTAGAGAATTAAATACCTAGAGATGGGGGAGATTTGAAAGTCCACAGAAACCAGCCCATCTGAACAGTGTAATGTCTCAAGTTTAAATGGGACTAGGAGTTTGTATGCTTCTCAAGTATTACCTTTGTATATAGCAAACACACTGTAGTGAAACCACAGACCTGGATTCAAGTTCAACTCTACAATTTGCTTATTTATAGGTGAGCCTGGATCAATCTTATCTTCAAGGTCCTCATCAATAAAATGGGGTCAGTGATCTCTGCCCATTACATATGCTAGAGATACTTTAAGTGCAAGTGTTTATATTCACAAGACACTCTAAAATATCAAGTTCAGGTTCTGTTATCCCCAATCCTGACTTTTCTCCTGAGATCCATCTTCCTATATTCAAGTATCAGTGGCCTTGCTCCTTGACTCATAATAGCTTCCAAATGCTTCCCCTGCTATTAACCTATTCTTCACACAGCTGCCAGGTTATCTTCTTGAAATCTTGCTTTCATCATATCATTCTAAAGTTTTTTCCCCCTATGGGATTAAGTTCAAGCATGGTTTAGAAATTTAAAAACTCTTCCAAGTCTCATACTATTTATTCTCTTAGGTTTATTTTATTTTTTTTAATATATTTTTATTGATTTTTTTTTTTTTTTTTTTACAGAGAGGAAGAGAGAGGGAAAGAGAGTTAGAAACATCAATGAGAGAGAATCACCGATCAGCTGCCTCCTGCACACCCCCTATCGGGGATGTGCCCGCAACCAATGTTACATGCCCTTGACCGGAATCAAACCTGGGACATTTCAGTGTGCAGGCCGATGCTCTATCCACTGAGCCAAACCGGTTTCAGCATCTCTTAGGTTTATTGCTTACTACACTATCCTTCCCTCCTCCCCACAACAACACACATACACACCCCAATTAAATTAAAGCCCACTTTCGCTCTCCGCATGCATTTTGTCTATCTGGAATGCACCACTCTATGCTTCCTAGATCTTCTTCCCATATGTGCAGATCAAAACCCAGATTCTTCTTGTAACTCCTCTCATGGAAGACTTAATGCACAAACAAAAACAAAACAAAACAAAAAAACTTAGGTGCCAAGGGGCATTTCCTGAGACAATGTGTTCGATATTCTTATTAGCAAAATATAAATAATGATACAACTTTTTAGAATAGATGTGAGAAATATATATATGATCTGACACAGTTGAGGCATTTAATTGGTGCTCAACATGATAGCTTTTACCATTATCCTCTTATTCAATTACTTCAAAAAGAATGTAGGCTTCAGAATCTTCTTTGTGAGAGTTTGTTTCCTTTTAGTAGCCAAAAGCAAATTACATGATTTACACTCTTAGCTATATATGCTAGATAAATGATTGCATATGTCTACCAAAAGACATGTACAGGAACATTTTAGCAGGTTTGCTCACTAGACAGAAAATGTAAACAATCCAAATATGCATCGATTGGAAATAAATTCATGTCATTTTAGTCCTGTAACAAAATATAGCACAACAATAAAAAATAAACATGTAATTACATGGATGAGTCTCATGGACATAATGATAAATGAAAGAAATCAGGCCATAAAAGTATATAGTCCAAGATTTAAAATTTATGAAATTCAAGGAGAGATAACATTATTATTTGAAGGTGGAAATCAGAATAGTGGTTATCACTTGGAGAGAGAGGAATTGATTAAGAAAGGACAAACTTTTTTGAGTGCCAGAAATTATGTGGGTAGTATTCCAATGGATACATGTATAGGCAAAATATCATCAAACTATACACATGTGGAATATAATATTAGATTTTTTGAGAGGACTTAGGACTCCATAGGAGAAGAAAGTACAAATAACTTTTTTTCCCCAAGTTGTTTTCTAATCTCCCAATTTCACCTCCTCTCCTCCTTCCTTAGAGGTCTTGGAAAATGTAACTGTCTTTCCATTGAAATTGACAACAACTTGTTCAACTACTCTTCCCCTTTAATCACCCCCTTCTCCAATTTTATGAGAGTTTCCGCACATAATGTCTTAGCTCCTGGGACAAGTTCAGGGGCTCTCTGTCTCCAAGAAGCACAGGAGTAAATAATTCAGCAGTTGGACAGCAACAGATGTAGCCTTTCACTGGTTCACTTGGATATTTTATCCAGTACAAGAGCCCAGGGCCCTCTAGGACCACCTCTGTCTGACACATTTTGTAGGTTAGGCAAACAAATACCTACAGGATGGAGAAGGACACTCAAACCTGTATAAGATGCACAGTGGAGAATAAAGGTGAAAGTGATGGATCATTGGGACTAAGGCTGTGTATTTTTGGAATATTTCTAATTTCCCCCATTCATTCAGAACATACGGTCACTTGATTCTTTCAGGCTAAAAACTGATTTATATTACTTTAACAACCATTAAGCCTCTGCATTCCTTTATTTTCCAAGTTTTTTAAAAATAAAATAATCTTTGCTGATGCTCTTCATTCAAGGAACTAAAACAAAACACTTTTCTCCCTCCCTGTGTATTCTCTCTATATTTCTCCCACCACAATGATTTACTGTGAAACCCCCAAATTCTTTTGCCAGCTCCAACTTGAGCTCTTCTGTTAAACTGCAGTTTTCTTCAAATATTAGTATCCCTTTTCTTGCCAATATTTAGTGTAATATGCTAGTGAGCTGGACATAATTCAGTTTTGTTTCCTCATTAGGATATCAGGGATATATTTCACACTCTTTGGTTCAGAGTTAATATTCTCTCTCCTCTCTCTCTCTTTCCTTTTCTCCTTCTTGCTCTCTCTCTCTCTCTCCCCTCCCCTACCCTCAATTCATAGGCTCAGCTACACCACCTGCTTCACAGAAACAAGGCTGGTCCTGTTCTGAATCTCTGGTCTCCCTTTAAAAACCAAGTGGAAGTTCACATTCCTCTTCCTTACACTCACTGATGTGAAAGGAGACACACAGAAGGAAAACAGTGCAGGCAGAACAATTCCCTCTTTTGGGAGCAGGGCATCCCCCACCCCACCCCCCTTCATTTCGCCCAAGAAGTTCTTCACAATCCTGGTTTGGGGGCAGAATGTTTCTAGATTTATTAAGTAGCTGTTCAAAGTCTAAATCTCTCTCTCTGCTTTTCTGTGTCTCCTATCTTTCTGCTCTCCCTGGATATCTCTCTCTCTCTCTCTCTCTCTCTCTCTCTCTCTCTCTCTCTCTCTCTCCTCCCTCCCTCCCTCCCTCCCTCCCTCCTCCCTCCCTCCCTCCCTCCCTCCCTCCCTCCCTCCTCTCTCCCCCGCTCCCTCTCTCTCTCTGAGACATTGGGGGGCGGGGGAGGAGAAACCTAAGTATTTCTCACTTGGGGAGACATTTCTAACTAATTCAGGACCAAGAGGCTAAAATACACAAACAACAGAATAAAACCTCAAATTAGAAGGAGAATGACTCAAATGGGTCCCTATCTCTGAGAATTCTAGTTAAGCAAACAAAATGGTCTGGGATAAATGATTATTGTAACTCGGGAAGATGAGAAGAAAACCTAATTAGCTCCCAAGCTTCTCCCTGTTCCTCAGCCTGGTTAGACTCTCCAACTCCCAGCCAAGCCCTCCCTCTCCACACCAAAAAAGTCCCTGCGGCGAGGCCGGGAGGGTTAACAGAGCTGGTGCCCGGCTTGGCGCGGACCAAAGGAGATAGCGGGGAGGCTCCGATCCCACCCCCTGCCAAGCCGCCAGCCAATGGGCACCCGTGGGGACGATGGCGGTGTGTCCCATTGGCTGCCAACCTACGTGCATAAGAAAGAGAGAGAGGCAGGCCAGGCAGCATTGTTATCTTAAGACACTCATCTGGTGTCTGAGTCTGCAGGTGACACAGCTTAGGTGCGGAGCGGGAGTCAGAGGCAGGGCTCCCTGCTGCAGCCCGGACTGGAATACGCCCGCCTCAGAAGCTGCTGGCGGAGGCTGAGGCAGCGCCTCCACAGCGCCGGAGCATCCCGTTCGCACTGGCCCGGGTTTGGGCACCTGCCGTGCGGTGCGAGCTCAGGGACAGGTCTGCGGGCAGCAGAGCGAGCGCTGAAGCCGGCGGAAAGGGCTTTGCCCATGTGCCAGGCAGTGATTTCGGGAAGAGAGCAATAGGGTGAATCCCTTTAGAGTTGCAAGGAAGGCGAGATCTTGGGTTCCTCTTCGGTGGACGGACAGGGGACTCCCCAGGTTTGGTGTTGCACTTTCCTTCCCTCTCCCACCCGAGTGCGCTGAAATCCACTCCCAACCTGCTTTGGGTGCCGGGGATCCAGGCTGCTTAGCGGAAGGCAGCCTGCAAATGGTCTAGCGGAGGCAGCGGCTGAGGCAAAGCCCAGAGCAAGAGAATTTGAAAAAAGACTTCCTTTCCCTCTCTCATGCTGAAGGAGAGGCATTCGGGTTTCCCCAAATGAGAAAGCCACAAGAAATCATGAAGTAGAAACTTTGGAAAGCTGCCACTGGAGATGTTGCACAAAAACCTGGAATCTTTTAGGAGTCTCCTCCCAGTCGGTGGACATTTGGGGAGCAGCTGATACAGCCAGGAGGGCTCTTGCAAGGATTCAAGGTAACAGTGCAGGGTTTGGATGGTTTTCCTCTGTTCCCTTTTCCTTGCCCTTTCTGTCATGTTCTTTGGTTGGTAAGGGGATCATTTACCCCCTCACAGCCCTCATGCCTTGTTGCCTGGCAGTTGCGGGCAGAGGGAATGATCCCATCTGGTAGTTTCTGTCTGGTGGAGCTGAGCAATGCAATTTGGGGTTTAGCTAGAGATGGCCCTGTTACTGCTTCCTGGTGTGCATGACTGACGCCCTGCTTGGGCACTCTGCCTGACCTATATTGCTTTTGCCTGGGCTAAGTCCTCAAAGTTGCAACTCCCATTAGCTTCAGAAAATTCAACGGAGCTGTATAATTGCAGAAAATGCTGAGGACTTCTGCCTGCTGAGCTGAGACTGTTTGTGGTTCACTATGTTTGAGAAGGACCCCATAGAGCTGAGGTCATGCTATGTGATATATCTCTACTCACATGTTCATATGGCTCAGTGACATGCCTGTAGAGTCCTGTCTCTTCCTCCCATGCACATACAGCTAAGAAAAAAAATTCTGAAGAGTGAGCCCCATAGGCTGCAAATAGTCTCCCCAAGGGTGATGGCAGAAGCCCATTGATTGAGCCTGGCTGCACACTGGAAGGAGGGGTGAACTAACATTATCTAGCCATCTCTCTCCCTCAGGTTCTGTGATCACCTGAGTTCACAGTCTAATGCTGTGTGTGTGTGTGTGTGTGTGTGTGTGTGTGTGTGTGTGTATGTGTGTGTGTGTGCGCGCACAGCTATATGCAGGAAGCGGGCTGCCAACAGAAAAACCATGCATGTGCAGCTTGCTGCCCAGGCCCCAGGCTGAGGGTTTCTTCCTAGTAGGAGCCTGAACTTGGGAGCTGCCGTTCCAGCCCAGAGGAGTTTCCTCCTCACCAGGCAGTCCCAATGCCTGGTACATATTTATCCAGGGCATATAGACCTAAGCGAAATATTAACGAATAATCAAGCTAATGCACTGCAACATGATTGAACAGCCCCCTCTGTAAAGAACTGTGTGTTCACTCTTCCAAGCCCTGGGAGCCAGTGCCCTAAGCAGGAAGAAATGTTCTGTGAAAAGGGGAGCAACTAAAACAGGCCTGCTTATAGCCGAGTAATCTGGGCCTTCTCCTGCAGGGACAATAGTATGTTAGCACAGACCAATCAGGAGATTAAAAGGTATGTTGTCAGTCAAGTATTTCTGCCTCTGTCCTTCTCCAAACATGGGCATGTGGAAGTAATGTTCTCTGACCAGGCTCTCTAGAATGTCTCAATGCCAGTATTAACCAAGCAGTTCAAGTATTTCAGAGAATCCCCTGGGGGGCAGTCTGATGATATCAGGCAACAGCAAAGGGATGCTGGAGTTGGTGTTTTCCTTTCTGACTTCACACAGTGTGCATATGGTATTTGTTTAAGGCAGGACTCTCGGAGTTCCCTCTCAGCCAGAAGATGCTTGCTTTGCAGCATTGAGGGCATGACCAAGCAATGCTACTACAGTGGTCCTAGGTTTTTACCAATGTCACTGCTGCTGCTACTTTGGGGAAAGATGCATGTTTTGCTTCTTGAGGAGGGATATGATTTGGGTAGGTGCAGAGCATGGATACTGTGAGATGTCTGAGGGAAAGTGGCAAATGTCAGACCTGGGTCTTCCCTTATGGAGGGAAGCTGCCTCAAAGGGTTTGACAGCTAGGCTGCAAGCATGGAGAAGACAGAAGCATCCCTGACTCTGGCCTCTCCCTCCTCACCGAACAAGGGGCAGCTTGTGGCCTGCAATGGGGTGCTGCAGTGTGGGCACAACAGGAGGAGAGAAGGGGGTAACTGGGGAGGGGGGAGAATTCCTGCTCTGTTAACACTAGGCCACTCTCAAGGATGGAAGCATTTTCTCCTATTTGACCATTAAAGATCATCCTCTGGGTGTTTCTTTCTGGCCTCCTAACAGGTTGTTTACTGAGCAAGGTCAGAGGGCAAAGAACAGCCCTGGTCATTACTTCTTCTGATCCCCAGGCTAGCCCCTGGGGACCTTCACATAAAAGCGATCCCCTCCAGGAACAGGGACTGCATTCCAAAACCCCTCCCCTGCTCACAAACAAGAGGTAACCTGGAGGGACTGTGACACCTATGTGGGCACTTTCTGCTGACTGGGATGCTTAGAGTTGAGGTTTCCTGTTTAATGGTTTGTTTTCCCCGCTGTGCAGTGTAATTTTGGCAATTCAAGTATTTCTCTTAAATAAGACCTTGTCTATATTTTATAATGGCATCCTTTTCCAGTGGGCTGGGGGCATTGTAGAGAGCTCATCTAATCAATCCTCACATGCCTTATTGTCTCATTAATCTTTGATTACCCTAAGAAGTAGAGCTAGAATGACTTTAGCCTCCTTTTTGGAAAATCAAGGGCAAAGGAGTTGGGAAGATGAACTAACTGCTTTTACTCAGGGCAATTAAGGGAACCTATGGGGTGGGGTGTGGGTCTCATCACTGCTTAACCAATCTCAGGCTCCATGTCTCCTCCTAAGTAAGGACTGGCTTAATCTCATGCCTGTGTTCTGATTCATTTTTTTTCCTAAACTCTACAAGAATGGGAGGTTGCAGTGACATACACCTTGTCCTCTGGCCCTGAACTAAAGGCTTTGAGGGGTAAAAGTCTTATAATATCTTGCCTTTGCCCTCAATGATCTTACAGTCTAGTTAGAAAAACAGGTTTACATTTGGGAAAAGATAAATGGCTCTATACATTCTAAGCAGCAGTTCAATAAAGAGATTTGAGAGGCTGACCTAATTAATCTAAGATTGATTGGTCCCGATAATGAGAGCTATCAGTATTGCAAGGAGGGACCATTGTGCTACGCAGGGGTGGGATGTGTTTGAAGAGGTAGAGGTGGGGAAAGGACTCTAGCTGACAGGGACACTAAGGGCAGCACAAGCTGAAAGCCTGGAAACATTTAGGCTTGCGTGATTCCATGGGGTTTGCCACTTCCCTACTTGTACCATGGGAAGACCATACACTTGGGTTAATTATTTGAAGCACATACTGGCCTAGAGGAAGCTTGTCCTTGGGCCAGGCAGAGGACTGTAATGTTGGACATCTCATCAGGCATTGAAATTTACCTAGCCTTCCACCCACTCTGGAGCCTAAGTCATACATTCTGGGAAAACAGAACTCAAGGTCAAAGAGCTAATCAACATCATATCACAAGCATTGAGGGACAGCAGGCAGATTTCAAGAGAACATGAGAAAATATTTTCATATTTTTAGAGTCAGACTCCCCTGCTTTTCTTCCATTTCCTGTTTCCCCACCCAAAAGTCCCTGTTGGGGTTTACTTAGAGCCAGCAAAATACCAAAGCCCTTAGGCATTTCACATTGAGCAGATTTTCAATCTTAAGATTCTTGAGCATGCCCATGTACATAACCTCTTGTCTCCCCTCCTCTTTCCCTTTTAATAAAACATATGCTGTAGCAGTCACAAAGGAGGCAGCCACAAAAAGCAGAAGGGGTGGGTATAGGATTGCCTGCAGCTGTACCACCAAGTACTGTGACTGCTCAGCTGAGTAGCAGAGGGGAGAGACAGTCTGCCAACCAGCGCAGTGCCAAGGAGGGGCCAAGGGCTTCAGACCACCAGGAGATGGCTGTGACCGGTCAGCCACACTCATTTGCTCCAGCACTGATCCTGATCTACTTAGAGAAAGGTCAAGGCAAAGCATAGGTCCCTTGAAACACAACCACCCTATTCATTGGTCTGCATTGGGTTTGGAGACATCCATTCATTCACCTTTCAGGTCCCTGGTTGCTTGGGTGGCCCCATTTCAGCATGGAGGAAGTACCTATCATGCACTGAGAGTGAATGATTTGCTTAAAGTCACATCCTATTTGCTCTCAAGTCCAGAGGAAAATGCCCAAGAACCCAGTCTGTTTGACTGCTTAGTCCCTGAGTTAGCCCTGGGGACAAGTCCTGAGGGATATGCACTTTCTTTTGAAAATCCTGCCCTTGGGCCTTGTTGTCACCTTTCTTTCCTCTCACAAAATGACCCTGCAGCTGGATAGTGAGGCCACAGACTTTTTTCTTTATTCGTTGCAAGTGTCCATGGCCATGTTTGGGGCTAAGATAGAGATCCAGGTCCATGTGCCTGTGGTTTGTGATTGTGGTTAAAGCCTCTTCTTTTTGGGAGTGAAGACTGTCAGCTCAGTTATGCTTCAGACTGGGGGCTGCAGAGGGCAGGTCTCACCAGATCAATTAAGATGCAGTTTGATCTCTCTTGCAAGTATTATTCTGCTTTGAGGATGGGAGTCAAGTTGAGAACTAAGATGACAGTGTGGAATCTTTACAGCCAGTTCCACATTCCTTTTACAGAAGCTCGCATGAAATGCACATATATGGGAGTACTGGATTGAACAAAGGGTGTGGCAATCTGATAGTCCCCAAGTCTGAGCCCTAGACTGCAGCGTGCTACCAACACACTAGCCACCAGCCACATGTAGAGGGTGAGAACTTAAATGTGTGCTCTAAGGGTAAAACACATGATGAATTTTGAAGACTTAGTTAGTATGAAAAAAAGGTAACAAACTTTCTGATCAGTAATGGTTAAAATATTGATTACACAGAAAAATGATTGGGTTAAATAAAATATATAAAGGTAAGCTTCATCCATTTCTTTTTACTCCTTAATGAGGCTACTAGAAAAGTTGAGTCATATATGTGGTTCACATTATATTTCTTTTCAATAGGATAGGCCCTGCAGAGGCATGAGACAGGAGCCAGAGATTTGAGATGGAGGGAGGGGTGACAGGCAGCTCAGGGCACCTGGGCATATGTTTCTGAAGTCTAAGGGCAAGGAGGGCACAGGTGGCTTACATTGGCTTCTACTTGAGGGACCTCCTCAACTGACAAATCCCACCCAAAGCGTTTGAAAAGCATTGAAGCTGTCACTCCACACACACAGGTAGGCTGCCGGTAATTTTATCTTAATATTTTTGAGTTTCTGCCTGACAGTAGAAATAACCAA